TTTATGATCATCATAAATCTGAATATTGATCCACTTAAAATAGGATTTCTTCTCTCATGATGATGTAGGTTTTCTTTGCTTCAGTTGTTCTCTTTTTGGAATGTCATTAGTTTCAAATATAGTTGCAATCTGCTGTGAAAATTATAATGATCATCAGCAGAATGGTTTTAAAGTATTCATTTTATTTTTCAATATTAATGCAGTAACCTTCTTTTTATGTATTTATTACTTTGCTCAGTATTACATTTATACTGGATATCTTTATTGGTTGTGTCCATGACCTCAAACAGGGAGCACCTTTTTTTCAGGATGTTATCTGTTCCTAGTAATTTCAATTTCTGCAGGGTTGGAACATGGAGCTTGATTCCAAGTATTTCCAGCTTAATGTTTAAAGTCTTTAAATGCACAAATGATAATGGGGACTATGGTAATATACATACCCCCCCCAAAAAAAATATGCCACATTGGTGCGGAGATCAGTATATTGGCCAAGTTTTTCAGCTGCATAATAGTAATAGTAGTAAAGACATGGAAAGGAAACAAAAGCTCCTACAGAAGATAGCAAAGGAAAGCAAGAAGAAAGGACTAATTATAAATTACAAGTAGACAATGCATGGATGAGCCCAAAATGCAAATTACAAATCAGGGAATTATAAAATCAAACAAAGTACAAAAATTTAAATACCTGGGAAGTGTTCTAACAGAGGATGGAAAGTGCAACACTGAGATCTAAAGACATATCAGGATCGCCAAAGATGCATTCCAAAAGCTAAGAATATTATGAGAGAAAAATTTCATTAGAAACAAAGATTATTGGACTGTTACATGATATCTGTTCTCTTGTGTGGCAGAGAATGCGGGACAATCTCCACAAAGATGAAGAGTCTTGAAGCAACAGAAATGTGCTTAGGATACCATCGACCAAATATGTGAGCAATGACAAGGTTTTGGAGAAAATGGAAACAAAAAGGAAACTTATACTTGACATCAGGAAGAGGTAGTTGAAATGTCTGGGGCATGTAATTAAGAAAGGATTGGAAAATCTGACACTCACAGGACTGATTGAGGGAAAGAGGGACAGATGAAAGCAATGTGTGACATAATGGATGAGTGAGCTTGAGTAAATGGATGGTAGAACAGGGTCTGGGAGAAATAAGACAAAACTTATTAAAAGCTACAAGAGACAGGAAGATGTGGAGGGTCATGATCGCCTATGTTCTGAAGGGACATGACACATAAAAGAAGAAAGTAATAGTAATATTAATAATAGCTGCATTTTTATTTTCAGCTGAACTCACTTTAGTTGATCTGTAAATGATTTTATTAATCAATGTAGCCTACTTAGATAATTTGTATTTTTGTATACAGTGAAGTTTAAAAAGAATTTTTTTTTTTAAGGAAGGTTAGAAAAAATTTTTTTTTTTTAAAGACTTTTTAAGTTGGAAGATTAAGAAAAATTAAACTTTTGTCATTAAGTTTAGATTTGTAGATGTTAACTTCTATAAGTTACCTTCACAAATGAAATCTGATTAGTTTTAGAAATGTTGTTTGGTATTTAATGGTGAAAAAAGGGTGAATTGCCAAACTGGCTTTCTATTCCAACAGTTAACTATGACGAACAGAAGGCAATTTCTACTCTTACTTCATTGAGTCTTTTGATATTTCCATTTGATTAGAGTTGCACTTCATCTTAATCTTTTTTTCTTCTTTTTTTTTTTTTTTTTATTTCTTTAAAGAAATTTTCTGAATGAAATGCACCTTCAATAAAGATCTTTCATTTTGATACATATCGATGCTTGCTTCCTTTTGAATATTTTTTTTTTTTTTTTTGTGGAGTCTTTGAGCAAGGTACATAAAAATCTATGATCTACTTTTCTCAGATGCATTCATATTAGACTTTTCTCCTAATTGAAATTACTTCTTCAAATGTTCCATTATGCTTATTAACTCTCTTTTGGAGAAGAGTTTTTTTGGTGGGGTGAGGGAGCATTATTTTTTTGTTTCATTTTATTTTTTTTATTTTTCTTTCGTATGAGAAATTCTTGGATGTTATTTCACTCACAAATATATGTGTGTGTGTGTGTATATATATATATATATATATATATATATATATATATATAATGTAATGGTTGGCTACTCTTGTTTTTACAAGCACACTCATATGCTAGAGTAGTTAACCAAACCCTGTGACATGCTCAGTCACATTAATTTTTGTTCAACATGAACAGATCACACCTGTAGTGTTTATTCCTCAACTATGTTGAATGGACCTTAGTTAACAGTTTCTAGGAGATAGTACATAGTCTGGCATGATCATCAGTTTGAATGATGTCAGTATGCTCAAACTGTCTAACACAACCATTGACAGTTTCTAAACAGTTTCATCCACCCAATTTCACTCACAAGGGTTGAATCAACCCATGGTGTGATTTTAAGGCACCTTTCTAAAGGTGCTGCATGCTGGGATTGTTTCTCCAGACTGATAATGTCAAGAAGTCACTCTCTGGATAAATTGACCATGGTGAGATTCAAAAAGTGAACGATCTCACTCTTTGGTCACATGTAAAAAAAAATATATATATATATATAGCACACACCATGGTCTGAAGATCACTTGAGGTTAAAAACTGACAGTCAACATGCAGTGTTGATTTATCTGTCAACACTGTCTATATCTCCAATATTAAGCACACTTACATCATAAATATAGCAAATTATATATAAATTTTCAAAAGGATTTTAATGTTGAGACTGGCTTCCATGGCTGAACTGGTAGAACACAATTTGGCTCAAAAAGTTTCCCTGATGAAGAAAAAGGGATGAAGATTTGATTCCTGTTGAAGGCACAATTTTTCTTTAGTAGGAATTTCATTTTAGTCCAGTTGTTATTAATTTCACTGTTTAATAAAAGAAAAAGTAAACAGGGATAACAACTTAAACACATGTACCCATTAAATATAATGTTTATGGTATTAAATAAAGTACCTAATGAAATTCTTACAAATCATTTAAAGAATTATTATGAAGAAAGTACTGTTTAAGGTATTTATAAAAAATTAATGTAAAATATTTACAAATCTCATAAAATGATGGTACACAAGTAAATTAAAATCTTTGTGATATTTCATAGTTTAAATATATTCTTACTATGTAAATTTTGTGATTGTTTCAATTTAAAAGGATAATAATGTTGCTGTGTATTTGTAAAAACAACTTTTGGAATTCACAATTGTACTCTATTTAATTATTCTAAATTTTATCTAATTTATCAACAGTGTTTTCTGTAGGATTAAAGATCTATAAAGAAGTCAGTATTACATTTTAACTATCAAAATCTTCACTCTTAAAAAAAACAAAAAAAAAAACACACACACACAAACCTTTAGATTTAGTTCAAAGAATAAGAACATAATTTATGACCTTTTTACATTTATTTTGTTAAATTTATATTTTTCTATTAAGATACAAGGTGGTTCTTGGACTAACCCACTTCCCAATATCTGAACAAGTGTTTTTTTTTTTTTTCTCTAAGGGTTGGTGATTAGCAAGAACTTTTCAATACCCCCCTCATAATATTGCTATAAACTAATATTTTCATCTTTACTTTTTCAGTTCTAATTACTTTGACTTTTTAGGTTTTTTTTTTTTTTTTTTGTAAATGTAGTTTCTTCCTGACAAACAATGAAGATATCTTGGTGTAGCAATTCTTTTCTTATTCTCACAACAAAATAACAGGTATTAGAATTTTTTAATTCTTTTTGTCTTGTAACAGTTTTTTTTTTTTTTTTTTTTTTAGGGTGGGGGTGTAAATAAGTGCCAACTCAAGTATATTTACATTACTACTTTTTAAGAGGCTTAAAAAGAAAAAAAAATCTGTGCACACCAATATGTGCAGATTTAGAAACAGGGATTCATTGTTTTTCTTGTTGGTGTTGATAATCCAGATAATGCTGTTTATATTTGGTTTAGTTATTGACTAGGCTGGGATTTCATTTTGGAGGTGGAGGGAGAGATTAATATATAAACTGAGCTTCAGTTTCTATATTTTTTTTTGTTTTTTGTTTTTTGAAAAAAAAAAAAAAAAAAAGTAACAGTGCAAATACAAAAGCTCCCAAAGCTTTTTCTTGGGTTAGTAAACTTCATACAACAAGGAAGTTTTAAGGAAAGACACAGATGAAATTTCTTGGACATATAATGAGGAAGAAGAGCTTGGAAAATTTGACACTCACAGGGCATATTGAAGGCAAAAGAAATAGAAGGCAGTGGGCCACCTACCTCTTGATATTATGTGACTGGATGGCGAAATGGGGAGTGTGAGGGATAGTAAAAAGACAAACATTGCTAAGAGCTACAAAAGATAGAAAGTTGTGGAGAGCCATGATCACCTACGTCCTGGACATGTACATGATGATGGCTCTTAAAACTGAGAACAATCCATCTTTTCATTTTGGGGACTTTGCTTTGCAAGGTGCAAATACCTATTATCTTCAGTTAATAGCTAAATAACCTCATCAAATATAACTTTAATGTTTATTTCAAAATTACACTAATGAGCTTTACTTAAGATTAAAAATCGCATCTTGTTTTAAAACAAAATTTTCAGGCTTAACAAATGAGGACAGACCTGATTTAAACAGAAAGCAATATTTTTTAAAAAGAAATTATTGTAGTGTTGATCAGATACTTGGAATATTCAACTTAGCATATTTAATTAATGTAGTTAATGAGGGTGAAAGATGTCAGGTACAACAGATACTGAGCGTGCTATGGATAAAATGAAGATCCCCCCCCCATTATGGGCATTATTATATCCATGATAACACCTCTTGTATGCTTTTTCTTCAGTTTAGAGCAGTTATGGGCAAACTGGCCCGTGAGCCATATGCAGCCTGTTTGGTTTTCAGAATGGCATTCTTAATTTCATGAGAAAAATAACATTTATTAATTTTTTTCATTCTCACTTATTCATTCACACTCGATCATAAACAATGAGGCTTACGGTTACATCATGTTGAAACACTAGTTCCTATATGATCACTGAAGTTAAGCAACATTGAGTCTGGTCAGTACCTAGATGTGTAACTGCTTGGGAATACCATGTGCTATATGCTTGGATGTGCACTTCATCTAATGGATAATGGCTTGGAATTGTTTCCCTTGGGAAACCTATAAATCTACCTCTTTTCTTACAGCTATTGGTTAATTAGTAAGACTTGTATAACTAAAGCGTTATCTGGGGGGGGGGAAGTAAATAAAATTGCATACAAAATATTTATATATCGCCATTAAATAACCCATAGAGGTTGATATGTTGCTAAACAAAAATGGCTAACCAACATAATGATTAAATAAGATGTTTCTTGAATTTTGAAACTTTTTGTTGAGGTAACATTTTCAACATTTTAAACCATTGGCGATTTTTCACTAAGGAAGATCATACATGAAGTCATCTTTTACTTTAGAACTATTATGAATGTTTCCTTTTTCTAAAGTAGAAACCGGAAATGTTCATAAGTTTTTCCTTTGAAGAAGAAATGTTTTATTTTAAATAATTATTTTTTGTATTTTCTAATAAATAAATAAGAAACTAATCACATGCAACAGTGTATGTGTTAATCACTCTCATCTCTGATAATATTTTACCAAGACTACATTTTTTTTTAATTTTTGAGAAATCTTTTCTCCAAAATCAATCAACCTTTCCCCATTTCTAAGGCAGGTGTTTACTCTTATGGTTTTCTATGGTGAAAATGGCTGAGGCACCTTCAATATAAAATTAGCTTAAATCTTTTTAAGAGTGTGGCCTGCATTTTGATGGGCCATAACTTATGCAGCATGTGGTTGGAAAAGTTGCTCATGGCTGATTTAGGGTTTCATATGATTATTTTTAAAGCATTCAGAATGAAATAACTCTAGAACAACACTGAATTTGCTTGAAAGAAATATTGACTGTCTCCTTTTAGTTCATTATTTTAATTCTAATGAGACCTGCTACAGTGGCTACTTGAATTGTATATTTATCTTGAAGTAGAATTTGAGTTGACATCATTTCCGCCAACAAATTTGTTAATTTCCGTTATGGGTGTTGTTTTGTTAAAATCTTAGAAACTATAGTATTGACAAATATAACAATCTTTTTTCTCAATAAGAATCAAGTTAGGAATTTAGTTTCCTAATAGTAAATTAAATCTATGCGACAAATTAACAATATCTCTCCCTGTTATTTCCTTTCAGGGCATGGATGACAATAGCTTTCCACAATTTCCTGACTTCTGTTGTGTTAATTCTTGCTCCTTTATGATCATTTGTCTTTATGGTTTTTGTTCTGCCATCTTTTCCTTTGCCTTCAGTGTGCTCTGTGAGTGTTATATTCTCTAAGCCTTCTTTTCTAACTGCATCTCCAAAATTTTATGTCTCTTTTTGATTGTTAGTAAGTTTTTTAGTTTCTATTCTTAAAACTACCTTGTTACTCACATGTTTTATTTGCTGGATTCTGAACATTGGTCAAGTAGAACCATACCTATTGCTTCAAGTCTTACTTTCATCTGTGAGGATACACTGCCATACAGGAGTATAAGCAGCTATCTCTTCCATCCAGTGTTATTTTTTTATATCTTAATATGTAACTTGGTTTCTTAAAAGAAAAAAAAAGGGGATTGGGTGGCATTCTTTGCTGTTCTTATGCACCTGTCACACACTTTCCATTATATGTTGTTATTCTACATACTTAAATTTTCCTACTTGTTTGATTTTAATGTCTGTCTGATATGTAATTCATAAATTGGTCTATCTCTTTTGCTAACAACCATGCATTTTATCTTACAATTAATGGTTAGTACTTGTTTTCAGTGACTGTTATAGTTCTTTCAGTTTCTCTTCTGAATTTGTCATCAATACTGTATCATCTGCTTTGTGTATGCTATTAATATTACATCCATCAATGATAAATCCTGGTAGAACTTCTTGTCCTTTGAGAATCATATTGCTGTTCAAACCTGGTAGGAAAACACATTCTTGTATTTTTCTTTCTGCATTCATTTACCTCATTTTTTTTTCTTTTTTATAATATTCACCCAATACAACACCCAAGAGTCACTGAAGGTAAAGGGTTACTGTGTGGAGTTGTATGAGCATAAGAAAAGGCAAGAAGTGAAGTTCATGTTGCTCTGCAGGAAAGATAATGTATAACTCTAAACTTGAAGAGATTATGATTGTAGTAATCACAAAAGCACCCCTCGGGAGTCTGTTCCACAAAGCAGCAGTTCTTGAAGAAGCTGTCCACATGGAACTCCCTTTGTATGAGTGGATCACAAGGAGAATGAGGATTCATCCCTGTGTATATAGCATGGTGAGTCTCAGTTGTAAAGGTCATGGCTGTTGGAAACAGGGAATGTAGCCCACCAAAACACTTACCATAGAAATAGCAAGAGGCTATGAAAGTATAAAAAAATATTGCAAGGCTGCATAAAGACTTCTGAACTCTATCAAGGCAGGCAAGTGAGGAATGGACAGCTCCAGCCCAGATATGCCAGCAATACTCCATTTTTGGTCTGATTTGGCTCTTGTAAAGAGAGTATAGCAGGTGAAGTCGGGTACATTAGTTTTATCTATCAATCTGTCTTGTTATATCATAGTGTCCAGTATTAGGAAAAGGAATTTTTAAGGAAAGTTACAAATCCTGTATTTCCAAACCTACAGATTTGGTTGTAATAAAAATTACTGTAAATGTTCTAAAAGACTTATTCTACAGTATTTTTGAATAAAAAAGAAAAGAATGAAAGATATAAAAACAATTTATTATATGTGGAGTATCCAAAATTAGAAAAGAAACATTATTTGATATTTTTATTTAAAACAAAACAAAATGTAATGATTCCCAATGAAATTCTGCAATATAATCAAATATTTATCTTCAGTAATTTTTCTGAAAGGATCACAATGACAAGCTGTGTTGCAAAATTGATGAATCATTCAGATATCAGGTTATTATATTAAAACTTGGAGGCTGAAGATTTCTGCCCTGGCAAAAAAAAAAAAAAATAGATTAAAAATTTTATGATGATAGGGGATCATTTAAGTTAGGCATGATACTAAGACAATCATGTAAAGTAAACTCCTTGGTAGTATCTGATGATGCAAAACACTGGACTTTTTGCCACTGTAGCAGGCAAGGCATATCAGGTAACTGAAGAATTCAGTATGAATGTGTCTTGGTAGATAGTCACATTGTTTATGTAAAGCAGGGTTTCATGCATATTATGCCATGAAGCCCCTCATCAGTAAAAAGAACCAAAAAGCCAGATTAACTTTTGCAAGTGAGTATATTGTGTGAACCAATGAAAATCCTGCAAGAATGTTCAACAGCAATGAAAGTTTAATTTGGTCAGCTCTGACAGCAAACAGTATGTCAGATGACATAAAGTGAGTAATGGCTTCCCAAATGTGTTTGTATGTAGCAGAGAGAGAATGAGAGAGAACAAACTCAGTTAAATTTGGAGGTGATAGCATATTACTCGGTGGGGGGGTGTATTCTGGTACTGATGTTGGTTAACTCATTTAGTTACATGACAAAATAAATGCTGTAATGTATAAGAATATCATTGAAAAGCATATCGCTTCTCTAATAGTATTTCTTGTCTCATTATTATGCAATATAATGCCCCTTGTCTTATTGCAAAAGAAGTAAAACGATTTTTGGATGCTGAAAATGTTGAGGCTATGGCATGGTATGTCCAAAGTTCAGATTTCAATTAAATTAAGAATCTAAAAGATCTTTGGTAATAATGGGAAATTAAGGAAAATGCTGCTGCTGATTGTTTTGTGGTAGAAACTGCAGGAGAAAGAAAATAACGTGCTTGGACAATGTGTGACAAGTCATGTGGTTGTAGATATCTTCTATGTGCCTTGTCTGTTCAGGATGTTGGCGATCATGCCTCTCTACAATTTCTTATCTTTTGTAGCTGTTAATAAATTCTTTCTTTTTGTTATGACCCATAAATATTGTTCTGCCATCCATTTACTCATGCTTGTGAGGTATGTTAGGCACTGTTTTCCTTTATCCCTACTGCCTTCAATATGTACTGTGAGTATCAAATTTTCCAAGCCATCTTCATTATGCACCCTAAAAATTTCAACTGTCTCTTTCTGATGTCAAGTATGTGTCCTTTTTTTGTTTCCATTTTCTTTAAAACTTTGTCGTTGCTCACATGTTCAGTCTGCAGTATTCTCAGCATCCTTCTGTAGAACCACATTTCTGTTGCTTCAACTCTCTTCTTCATCTGTGAGGAGATTGTCCAGCATTTGCTGCCATATGGGAGAACTGATATTATGTAACAGCTCAGTACTCTATTTTTGTTTCTAACAAAATTTTCCTGTTTCTTAATACTTGTCTTTTGAAAAGGCATCTTTGGCTATCCTGGTGTGCCATCAGATTTCAGTGCCGCACTTTCCTTCCTCTGTTAAAAAAACTTCCCAAATATTTAAATTGTTGTACTTGTTTGATTTTGGTACCTCCAAAAAAAAAATGTCAAGGCCTCTAGACTTTGTATTAATATTGTGTATGAATATCAAATTGATGTCAATTTAATTTGCATCTGTATTTATGATTTTGTTTTCTAATTTTGGACATTATTTTTTTTTGTATTAAATGTTTTTTTTTTTTTTTTTTTTTTTTTTATAACTTTATCTTTGGTTCTTTCTTTTATGCTAGTCCTGGGTATGATGATAAACTACATCCACCAGCAAGGTCTTTTATTGGAAAATTGGAGGTTTTGAGGAATGTTTCCAGGTCCACCCTGACCCAGAGTGGTAGCACTTGTTAGGGTTCCAGCTGTGGGCAAATAGTGACCACTCCCCCAATAAAAACAAAACACTATGAAAGTATAAAAATATATTTTTTATAGTAAAATTACCAACAATACATATTTATTTGAATTGCATTCAAAATATATTTAGATGAAACCATGAGATTGTGTTCAAAAGATTTACATTTTGGCATTAAATAAACCATAGAGGTTGATATGCTGCTAAGCAAAATCACTCGGTAAAATTATTTTATGCAAACTTACCATAGAACAGTTTTATCAAAATAATTACAAATTTTATGAT